GGGATCCCTACCAAATCCCTCTCCTCAGAACTCAGGGAACCCTGTGGAAGAGGAGGCAGAAGATTGTAAGAGCTAGTGGGGATAGAAGACACCAAGGAAACAAGGTCTTCCATACACAACAAAAATGACACATGATCTTACAGAAGCTGTGGCAGCACACACAGAGTCTGCACAACACAAGCCAGATGAGTCTCAGTGCCAAGAGGGGAAGTGGATACAAGACCCCATCCCTAATCTAGAAACTATCTCCAATTGATTACTGCTCAAAAACGAAAACCTAGTTTTCCCCGGTGGAGTCTCACTGGGTATACAAACAGCTCTTAAGGACAGATCCCATGCCCAGCACAACACAAAGGGAACCCAACACCATTTTTTGGAGGCTCCTTATCTCTTGGTGCTTTGTCTGTGCATTATTTTATTTTCTTTCTTTTCTTTATTCCCTTTTGTGTATATATTATTGCTTCCATGTTGTATTTCTATGCGAGTTCTATGTGTGGGAATGTGTGTCTCTGCATCTATATTTGTTTTTTGTGCTTTTTCTTTGGATCTTTCCCTCACAGTTGTTTGCTTCACACTATTCCAGTTTGCTTGTTTTTATTTTATATTATTTATCATTAATATTTAAGATGCCTGTTTATATTCCTGAATGAGAGAGAGAGTAGATTTGAGTGGTGGGGATGATCTGGGAAGAGAAACCTTAGTCAGAATATATTGTACAAAAAAACCCTCTTTTCAATTTTACCAAAGGGAAAATAAGTAGCGTTAAGTGAAGTCATCATAGGAAAGGCAGCCCTAAAGGCAGCATTCAGTTTACCAAACAGCAGCCCTCTCATAGTGGCAGCTAGACTGTTGCTCTCTTCTGAAATGCTTCCTTGGAAAAACATCATCAACCAAACTCAGTCACATCATAGCCACAGTTTTTCCTGGATGAGGGTGACCTGGTTGTCCCTACATTCAAATAGATTCTGTTTTAACATGGTTGGTATTTGTAAACATCAGAAGTTTCAATTTCCCTTTTATTAACAAATACATGATTGGATTATTTCAAACAATAGCTATATGATGTTTCATCAAGAAAATTCAAGCTCTTCTGAGTACTTCAAGCAGTATAGTATGGCTGTGTCCTGCTAATAGTAGTTAACCTTTAATTTCCAGGTTAGGGTTCTCCTTGAGAGTGTTTGCTCCATGCTCAGCTGCAAATAGGACATTTATATGATACGTCCTACCCAGTGGTTCAGGGGCCATTGTGGAGATGGGACAGAGAAGTTTTATGAACCAGAGTATAAGAGTGTAACAGCATCCTGTGGACACAATAGGATTGCTTCTCTCATAAACTCACATGGCTGTGGTTGCTTACACAAGATCAATAGTCAGTGTCCAGCTAGGAGGTGAGAAGGGTTCACTAGACTCCACCTCTTGCTGAGAAGTCATCAATTATTGATGGATCCTTGGGGCAGAGGGCATCAGTTATCTTTAAGGGTGTGGTCCCTGGTAGATGAAACACACTACAGTAGATATCCCTGCATGAGTGAGTATATGAGCAGCACAAATTGCATCAGTGAATTAAGGGGAAAAAAAAAGGATACAAAATTAGAAGGGTATGAGGCTAACAGAAGGTTCTTGAACGAGTTGTAAGAAGAACTAGGGGTTGAACAAGACAAAATACATGACTTGCTTGTGTAAGATGATAATTAATAAGAATATTATATAACACCCTTTTGTATATTAAAATATATTTAATTTAAACTTTTACATGTAGCTAATGGATACCATGCCATTCGGTGAAACTTCATTTATTTCTCATATTTTACATGAGTAAGGATAAACTCAGAAAAGTTATCCATACAGTTTCTAAGAGGGAAAATCAAGACCAAAATTTAGAGCTTGTGATTACTAAAACAATGCTGTCTGTATGGTATTCAGTGGTATTTCTGTGTGCCTACACTTAAAAGGAAAATTAGCTACTTTTCAAAATGAGTAGTACATTTTTAAAAAAATACTAATTTTTTTTTAAAAAAGTCCAACATGTTAAGTCAACTGGGAAATGCAAATTAAATGGGTGTTTTTAATTAACAAAATGATAATGTTTGGTATTGGTAAGATAAATAATCTTTTCACATCCATAGATAAGAATGGTGATTATTAATACAGTGTTGTAGGAGGTCCATTCTATGGCAAACATGTTATTAACACGAATGTTAATAAAACATTTCAGCTTTGATGCTATCTGAAATGCCAGCATATGCATAAGGGAATGTGTTCAGGAGCATTAACATAGTGCAGTTCTCTGAAATCCTGGAAGCACCTACATATCTAGAAGTAGAGAACAAATAAGATAGGTAAAATATTAAAAAGTTTTATCTACACATTTTCCAGTGGAATTATGTCCAAATGCATGATTGTTAAGAAATAAAACAGGAAACTGCATATATAATATGTATATGTGCCATGTATATTAAATGATGGGGGAAAGTTATGACTTTATATAGTTTTAAGAATGTGTGTAAAGATAATGAAAGGAAGTTAGCTGAAGATGTGGTGGCCAGTAAAAGCTGACTTCTTTTTTGTTGTTTTAGTTTTAAATTTATTGAATTTGTCTCCATTTACTGACATTCTGCATGTGTGATCTTTAGGGCAATGCTGATTTTTGGACGTTCCATTTAAGTTAAAACACTTGATCTGAAGAACTAATTTTGTTCATGTGGTTATCAACAGCTTAAGTTCCTAGGTGCCTTAGACACCGGGTCCTTGACATGGAGCAGTGAATCATATAGGTAGGTTCCTGCACCTGCAAGACTTTCCCTACAGTAGATGCAGTTTAGAAACAGATGTGTTTTCTCTGTATAAACCACTCTGACTTTTTTGTTTGTTTGTTTTTTCAAGACAGGATTTTGTTGTGTACCCTTGGCTGCCCTGAAACTTGTTCTGTAGACCAGGCTGACCTCAAACTCATAGAGATCCACCTGCCTCTGC